AAAAAAAAAAAAGACCAATATCCCATGCAAGGAGCTTGGAAGTCATCATTCCATCATAATAAGTAAAAAGCTGAAAAGACCAAGGGCTGGGGGAAATCTCTCCTTCAATCCATTAAAAAAGTGAGGACATGGGACAAACCACAGTCCCCAAGATAGGAAAGACACGTGAATACAGGGAGTCGCAGGTTATTAGAACAGGCTCACGAGCAGAAACAGCAGGGGGAACCAGTGCCTGGGTAGGAAAACCTGAGATGTACTTGATAAATTGCTGGAGGCTCAGTATGGAAAATCTGAGAAAGGAGAACTCTTTCACAGGGAGGCCCCCTCATTTGTGAGTTTTACCTCCAGGAGCTCAACCAAGTTCTCACAGTAAATATTAGTGAAAAATCCCCTCATGCTTCCATCAGAGAAAGGGAAAAAGGAACCATTTTGAAATATGCCAGAGCACTCTGTTCTTAGTTTCTCTTGAACATAGCCCTTGTGAGTGAGAGCCAAATCTGGTGCTTTATCACAGCCTAACTGACCTGGGGAAAGGGAAACAACCCAGTTCTAGCCAGCTTTTGCCATCTTTTCCTCCTTAAGTTGGGGTGGGAGGAAGGCAGTAACTGAAAATCACTTACAAACTTCACAGTTCAGAGGCACAGGCTCACTAAAAGACTGAGACCTAAAATCACAGGACTATAGAAAACTTCCCCCCTTCATGGACAGACAACACTAAAAATAATTATATCCAAGAGGTATAGTTCTTTCAACCATCAACATTTCCTGAAGCTAATTGTACTTTTGCAACCCTTATTTTCTCTACTGATGGTCTTCTGGAAAAGTTGTGTAACAAAAAGTTTTAGATCAGGCATAATGGCTCACACTTGTAATCTTAGCAATTTGGGAGGCCAAGGTAAGAGGATCACTTGAGGCCAGGAGTTCAAAACCAGCCTGGGCAACATAGCAAGATCTCACATCTACAGGAAGAAAAAATTTTTTTTTTAATTTCAGAATATTACAGGGGTACAAACGTTTAGGTTACATACATTGCCTTGCACCACCTGCGTCAGAGTTACAAGCATGTCCAACCCCCAGACAGTGTACAGCACACCCATCAAGTGTGAATATATGAATATACCCATCCCCTCCTCCCCTCTCCCACTTGCCCGACACCAGATGAATGTTACTTCCATATGTGCATGAGTGTTGATCAACTGGTACCAATTTGATAGTGATTATAAGTGGTGCTTGTTTTCCCATTCCTGTGATACTCTGCTTAGTAGAATGGTCTCCACCTCCATCCAGGATAATACAAGAGGTGCTAGATCACCATTGTTTTTTGTGGCTGAGTAGTACTCCATGGTATATGTATACCACATTTTATTAATCC